AGGCAGGTGGATCTCTGTGAGTTCAAGACCAGCCTGGTCTATAGATCGAGTTCTAGGACATCCAGGGCTATAGAGAGAAGCCCAGTCTCTGAAATCAAAGAAAAAAGCTGGACAAAGGCAGCAAGAAGATCCTGGAAAGGAAAGCCAAGAGTCGACAAGTAGGAAAGGAGAAGGGCAAATACAAGGAAGAAAGAATTGAGAAGATGGAGGAGTAGGTCGTCTCTTACACAGCTTCCACTAAAGACTGCTTAAGTAAAAAAAAAAAAAAAAAGTGAATGAGAGAACTGTATAACAAGAACAAAATCTGCTATTTTCCTATTAATGAAATTAATAGAATTTTTAAAAGAATGAAGTGCATGTAAGTGGAATCCAAATCTTCAAAAACATCAGTAGTATATTTCTGATGCTTCCATTATTTAACTATCCAAGGTTGTGTGTCATGTTCATTTTCCTAGTAAAACTGTTCTTTAACATTTAAAAGGGAGTCAGGTGATGGTGGCACACGCCTTTAAACCCAGGACTGGGAGGCAGAGGCAGGCAGATCTCTGTGAGTTCAAGGCCAGCCTGGTCTATAGAGCCAGTTCCAGGCCAGCCACCAAAAGCTACAGAGAATCCCTGTCACAGAAAAACAAAAGGAAAAAACATTTAAAAGGGAAAGATATACATATAGCATTTTATAAACTAGTATAAGTAATCAAAACATGTGTTCTGAATCACATGTGTTCTGAATTACTATTTCATGAACAAATTAGCAATGTTCTTTTGAAAACTCAAGTTTGTTCTCAAGGAACTTTATCAATGAAGTTAACTGTTATTCAATGAAGAGCTGGTATCTCAAGAACTTTTACTAAATACAAATCTTTAATGCAAGCTAGTCGTGGTGCATGTGTGTATTACCAGTACGTGGGATACAGAGGCAGGCAGATCTTGTTGTAGGAATTTAACAGAATCCCTATACTGAGGTTAACATTAGAAAGAATAGCTGTTTTCTGTAAGTACTTTGACCGTGAAGAATCATTGTGGTCAAGAGTAAAGAATCTTTGTGGAAAACAGTGATTGTTTTTTGTAATCTGTTGCATGGTTTTACTGAAGGGTTGTTGTAGTCTTCTCTTGACTTTGGTCACAAAACACTGGCACACCTGAGGCTCTTGGATTATTGTGTATTACAAATGACACACAATAATGGACTAAATTCATGAGGTCATGTGATGTGTTCCTTTAGTGAGACACATAGATTAGATTAGATTAGATTAGATTAGATACTTCACTATGAGGAAATACTTTACCCCAAAATAACTTGGTAAAAATCAATAAATACACGTAGTATGGTTGTTCAGGGTTCAGCCCATCAGAGATGCTGGACCTTCCTACTGCCACATAGGCCTTAAAAGTTCATACTAGAGCACCTTGTTTCTTCAACCGACCCATACTACACAGAACACCCCAACATATCTCTTGGGAGTTAAAGCCAGCCTTATCTACATAGTAAGCTCCAGGCCAACCAGGAGTACATAGTAAAGTCGTCTGAAAACAAAATACAATAATGAATATTAAAAAAAAAATAGTTATCTTACTTCTATTAATTATACACAGAACTTAGCAAAGGTTGTGTTTACAGCAGGTATTTAAAAATTGTTTGGAGCCGGGTGGTGGCACATGCCTTTAATCCCAGCATTGAGTGAGGCAGAGACAGGCGGTTCTCTGAGTTCGAGACCAGCCTGGTCTACAAGAGCTACTTCCAGGACAGCCTCCAAAGCCACAGAGAAACCCTGTCTAGAAAAACCAAAAGAAAATAAATAAATAAAAATTATTTGGTTAAAAAAAAACTGTACTGAAGCTGGGCAGTAGTGGCACACACCTTTGATCTCAGCACTCGGGAGGCAGAGGCAGGTGGATCTCTGTGAGTTCGAAGCCAGCCTGCTCTACAGAGCAAGTTCCAGGACAAGCTCCAAAGCAATACAGAGAAACCCTGTCTCCAAAAACAAACAAATAAAAAATCTGTATTGAGAAAAAAAGTAGTGAAAATGAGCTATTATGGTGGAGGAATGATTTATAACTGCTGTTTTAATATTTTGACTGTCTTCCTGACCACTAACAATGATTTCAAAGATGAAGAGAAAAATTAGGGTGGTCCACTCATAATTTTTCTGTATTAATTTCAATTTTAAAAGAATATACATACAAGAAAATTTAAAAATGACAGGGAAATATGTACTCTAGAATTCAACTCATATTACTCTAGTATCTATGGATATTAGTATTTCTTTTACTAAAACTGACAATAGTACCAAATTAGTTTACAATACTGTCATTTCTGTTAGCTGGTTAAATTATTCAAATTGAAAGGACTGCTCAATGTAATTCTGTTATACTATCAAATAAAAACAAGACAGAAATTTTTAAATACAACATATAAAAGTAATCTAGAACTCCAAAAAGGATAAACTTCTGGAGGCTAGAGACAAGATTCAGTTGTTAAGAGAGCTAACTGCTCGTTCAGGAACCTGTGTTTTTATTGCACACACATGACAGCTTACAAATACCCATAACTCCACAGGATCCAATGTATATCAGACATGCATGTGGTACAGACATATATCTATATGCATAAAATAAAATGAAAAAATTTTAGGTTAATCAAGAGGTTAGAGAGATAGCTCAGCAGTTAAGAGTATGTACTGCTCTTGCAGGAAACCTGAGTTTAATCTGAAGCACCTATGTTAGACAACTTGTAAAGTTCAGCTTCAGGAGGATCTGATGCTCAGTCCTCCTTAAAGACCTGCACTCATGCATATACAAAGACACACACAGACACAAAATTAAAAATGAATCTTTCTGGGTGGTGGTGGCGCACACCTTTAGTCCCAGCACTTGGGAGGCAGAGGCAAGAGGATCTATGCGAGTTTGAGACCAGCCTGGTCTACAGAGTGAGTTCCAGGACAGCCAGTGCTACACAGAGAAACCCTGTCTTGACAAACCAAAATAAATAAATAGAAGTCTTTCTTTTTTTTAAGCCAATCAAGCTATGAGTAGTGGTAAATGTCTTTATGTCCAGCACCAAGGAGGCAAAGGCAGACAAGTCTCTGTGAGTCCAAGGCCAGCCAGGACTACCTATACTAAGCTCCATCCAGACAAGCTTGGACTACATAGTGAGGTCCTAACTAAGAAAAAGTCAATCCCAGGGCAGGCAGTGGTGGCGCACGCCTTTAATCCCAGCACTCAGGAGGCAGAGTCAGGCGGATCTCTGGGAGTTCGAGACCAGCCTGGTCTACAAGAGCTAGTTCCAGGAGAGCCTCCAAAGCCACAGAGAAACCCTTTCTCAGAAAAAGAAAAAAAAGAGTCAATCAAACCAAACTGCTTTCCAGAAACACAACAAAGAAAAGAGGCCCTTAGTCTTTTGCTGAAGACTCTGAAAATTGTTCTTTACTTCCTCATTAAATATTGTAAAATATTTTGTTGTACATCTAAAACTTCTCTTCTGAGGCTAGAGTAATATTATTCAGTAGTAGAACACCTGCTTATGTGAAGCCCGAGACTTTCTGCAGGACCACAATAAATAAACAAACAAAATGTTTCTTCTAGCTAGACTCTGCTGTTTACAACAAGGACATTCAACAGCTAAATCCAATATGTAGACTAGGAAAATTAGTTATTATCATCATTCAACAAAATGTCAGCAAACTACAAAGAGAAAGAAGGTACTCACAGATCTGTAAAAGTAGAGGTAAATATAAAGAAATAGAAACACATTCCCCTTAAGATGACAAATTTTACCATATATAAACATGTATACAAAAATACTGCCAAAAAAAAACCAAAAACATGAAAGGCCAGGCATTGATGGTACATGTCTTTAATCCCAGCACTCAGGAAGCAGAGGCAGGTGGATCTCTGTGAATTTGAGGCCAGCCTGGTCTACAGAGGGAATGCCAGGATAGGCTCCAAAGCTACACAGAGAAACCCTGTCTCCAAAAACCAAACAAACAAAAAAAAGTTCTGTAAAATTCAGTTCTACTCTTAATATTTATCCTATGAAAATACTTGAACAAATAAACTATATATATGTGCGTGTATATATATAGCAAAACATATTCAGTATTGTTTATAACAATAAAAATTTTAAATTGTTCATATGTTTATAAAAGAGAAGCTGATTACAGCCCTGTAATAAAATACCCAGTAGCAATTAAAAGGATACATACAATAGGCCTATAGCCACTGACAGAGAAAGATATGTATACAGATGAATGAAAAAAGCAGGAATAATATTCATGTGGTTCCTGAACATAAGCCTCATATAATTATACACACACACACACACACACACACACACACACACACACACCACACACACACACACACACACACTCACACACACACACACACACTCACTCATAGAAAAAGTCTGGAAAGATATATATTAAAACTCTTAAAACTGATTAAATCTTTTGAAAATAGTAATAAAGTTTATACTTTGTTTTGTACTGTAATTGAATGTATTACTTTTATAATGTATCACACAGCATCTAAAAAGATAGCAAAGCAAAAACCTGTAAGTTAAAAAAAAAAAAAAAAGGTAAATGCTAACTATATAATCCATATCAGCACAAAGGATTGGTATGTTTTAACACAATAAAAACTGAAAGAAGCCGGGCGTTGGTGGCGTACACCTTTAATCCCAGCACTCGGGAGGCACAGGCAGGCAGATCTCTGTGAGTTCGAGGCCAGCCTAGTCTCCAGAGCGAGTGCCAGGATAGGCTCCAAAGCTACACAGAGAAACCCTGTCTCGAAAAACAAAAACAAACAAACAAACAAAAAACCCGAAAGAATATTTACTAAAAAACAAAAAAGAATCTAAACACCTCAACTTAATGACACTAAGGATAAAGCAAGCTGGGCCATCACAAAATTCAACACTAACTAAACACTCAAAAGGTTAAATGCTGAATCCAGACTTAACGTAACTGAAGACAGCCATGGTTTTCTCAAATAGTACTTACAGTTCTCTACAATTTCATCAAAAACTGCATCACTTTTCTGTTCAAACTGGAAAAAAAAAAAAGAGAGAGAGAAAAATAGTATTATTCTCAAATATTTCAATCTTACTTTTTGGAATCCCTCTCTACTCCCCAAAGTCAACCATGTTACAGTGATAGCTACTGTTGAGTATGTAGGGCCTAAGACAGAGAAGTAGAGCCAAGTTCGAGGTAATTTGAAACCTTTAAAACACACAGCACGTGAAAGGAAAGCAGAGGTCACTCCTGTAATTCATGTTACTCGCCTTTACTTCAAGCAGGAGACACAATAGCCACAGCATTTCCCAGAAAAACTTAATGACAGAATATTTTTTGAAAGAGAACACTAACACAGCCAGAATCAGAGAAGCTATACGAACTGATGTCAAAGGTCACCTTTGTACATTTCAATATAGAGCAACTTTTTTGTTTTGTTTTGTTTCTCTGTGTATCTTTGGAGTCTATCCTGGCACTCACTCTGGAGACCAGGCTGGCCTCGAACTCACAGAGATCCACCTGCCTCTGCCTCCTGAGTGTTGGGATCAAAGGCATGCGACACCACTACCCAGCTTTATAAAGCAACTTTTAATGTTTAATAGTATACTCCAAATTAGTGCTTTATAACTATGTTATTTGAACATTTCTGGCTTTCACAAATATTTTTTGAGAGTTTAACAAAGTACAAAGAGCAAGATATATTTAATACACTAGAATCTTCAAATTTAATAAGGAAACATTAAAAACAGGAAATATTTGGCTCCCACATGTCCTTTACTACCCAATTTTACTTCCCATCATTAATCACCCACATAGCAATCTTACCTACAAAATACAGATGTTATCAAAACTCCCAACATCTATTAATAATTAACTGAAGTTGGCAAGCAAGATCAATTATTTATCACTTACTTATTATTACAATGGTAGTATGATTACCAATTTACCTTGTTCTAAAACTACTAGTCAACCAGGCAGCAGTGGCACACACCTTTAGTCCCAGCACTCAGGGAGGCAGAGGCAGGTGGATCTCTGTGAGTTTCAGGCCAGCCTGGTCTACAGGGTAAGTTCCAGGACAGCTAAGACTACACAGAGAAACCGTGTCTCGAAAAAATCAAAATAAATAAACAAAAATACTAATCAATTCAATAAAATGTTTTTATATAAAGGAGTAAAAAGTGTAAAAATAGGGGAAAGTAAAAAAATCTACAGGAAAAATGATTGCTTGCAAAAGCCCAAAGAAGGTAAAGATATCAAGTAGTTGAGAAGTTTGGTAATAACAAGGAAGACAGACAAAACATAGCATGTTTTCTTTCATACAGAATCTAGACTTAGAAATATATATGTACATGTGTGTAACATGAAAGCAGAAAGAGGACTGTTAATAGAGGGAAGGAAGGAACTAGCCAGAGAAGAGGAAAAAAGCCAGGAAAGCAAAATGGAAGGGTAAATGTGAGCTAAATACAGTGACCTATGCAAGACAATGTTAAAATGAAACATTATTCTGTATGCTGACAACACTTTTTTTTTTTTTTTCTTTTTTGGGGAAGGGGTTGAGACAGGGTTTCTTTGTCGATTTGGAGGCTGTCCTAGAACTAGCTGTTTTTTGTTTTGTTTTGTTTTGTTTTGTTTTTTGGTTTTTCCAGACAGGGTTTCTCTGTGTAGCTTTGGAGCCTATCCTGGCACTCGCTCTGGAGACCAGGCTGGCCTTGAACTCACAGAGATCCGCCTGCATCTGCCTCCCAAGTGCTGGAATTAAAGGCATGTGTCACCACTGCCCCCTCCAATAGATTTCAAAAGAAAAATTTCTTAGGAGTAAGAAAAGCCAAGATTGGTGGTGCACGCCTTTAATCTCAGCACTCCGAAGGCTGAGGCAGGTGCATCTCTGTGAGTTCAAGGCCAGTCCAGCCTACAAAGGGAGTTCTAGGACTGCCAGGGCTACACAAAGAAACACTGACTTGATAAACAAAAAATAAAATATTAGTAACAATAATGATAATAATTCGACCATAAATAGTGCCTTAATAGACTTCATTGTATCCTAGGAGCATGTGTTGTATTCATTTCTATGTAATTGACTAATTGTATGCATTTACACAGTGTTTTGACAGAAATGTTTGTGATAAATGTATCACAAGTACTGGACCCATTATTTGCATCTCCCAGATCATCAGATACAATTGCATGTGGTAGAAAAAAGGACCGAGGATTCCACAGGGGAAGTATATTCTAAGTTATATTAGCACATTTCAAGTAAGATTACCTTTTTTTATATAAAGTATTCAAGAAATCAATAGCAGGAACTAGAGAGATGTCAAAGCAGTTAAGAGCATTAACTGCTCTTCCAGAGGACCTGGGCACAATTCCCAGTACCACATGGCAGCTCACAACTCTCTATAACTCCAACTACAAGGGATCTGGCATCCTCACACAGACAAACATGCAGGCAAAACACAATGCACGTAAAATAAAAAATAAATTATTTTCAAAAAGAAGAACATATTCTTTGGGAGGAAGGGAGGGAAGAAGGGAGGGAGGGAAGGAGGCAGGGAGGGAAGGAAGGAGGCATGGAGGGAGGCATGGAGGAAGGGAGGGAGGGAGGGAGGAGGGAGGGAGGGAGAGAAAGAAGAACACTCGTGTGTCTTCCAGGACTGCAGTTTGGTTCCCAGCACCTCAACTGAGTATTTACAACTGTCTGTTATATCCAGCTCCAGAGCATCCAAAACCCTCTTCTTGGCCTCACACTCACATACATACATACATACATACATACATACATACATACATACGCACACACACATGCACCACACAAATTAATTTTGAACCAACCTACAGTTGGTTGAACATACATAAATCAATGTAATGTACCATCTAAATAAACTCAAGGAAAAGAGACGTAATTGTTTCATTTAACCCTAAAAAGGAATTTGACAAAATTCAACATGCCTTCATAATCAAAGTTTTACAGACTTTAGAACTGGGTTTGTTGGCACACCCCTTTAATCCCAGCACTCAAGAAGCAGAGGCAAACCAATCTGTGGTTCCAGGTCAGCCTGGTCTACACAGGAGTTCCAGGCCATCCAGAGCTACATAGTAAAGACCTTGTCTCAAAGTGGGGAGAAGGATACTGATGAAATGGATCAGCAGTTAAGAGCTGGTTCTAGAAGATCTGGGCACAATTCCAAGAACCCATAAAGTGGCTCACAGCCATCTGTAACTCCAGTTCCAGGGCATGGGGGGGGGGGGGGGGGGGGTTCGGTGTTCTCTTCTGTCCTCTACAGGCACATAGTACACAGACATGGAAATAAAACACCCATACTCATAAAAATTAAATAATAAAGAAAAATTTTAAAAGGTTTTGGAGACTTTAAGAATAGATAAAACAGCCTGGCAGAGGTGGCACATGCTTTTTTTTTTTTTTTTTTTTTTTTTTTTTTTTTTAAAAGGGGGTTTTCTTTGTGTCGCTTTGGG